AAGAGGAGGCCACCCTCCCCCTCAGCCCCCAAGGAGATGGACTGACACAGTGGCAGCAGCCAACAGGCTCAAACATGACAATTAAGAGGGTAGTGCAGGATCGGGCAGTGTTCCGCTCTGTGGTGCAGGGTCACTGAGCCAGCGTGCACTCAGCAGCACCTAACAACACAGATTAGGGTTGTTAAGTACCGTGGAGCCGGTTCCAACCCATAGTAACCCTGCACAGGGTTTCCGAGGCTGTAAATCTTTACGGGAGCAGAAAGCCTCGTCTTTCTCCCGCGGAACAGCTGGTAGTTTCCAACGGCCAACCATAAGGTTAGCAGTCCGATTCGTAACCACTAGGGTGGTGGTGGTGGTAGTGATGGGCCATGGAGTCGAAACCGATTCATAGCAACCCTGTGCAGGGTTTCCAAGGCTGTAAATCTTTATGGGAGCAGAAAGCCTGATCTTTCTCCTGTGGAACAGCTGGTGGTTTCGAACTGCTGGGTAGAAAACTAATACTTTAGAGACAAAACTAGCTCTCAGAAGGAAGCCATGTAAGAATCAGATGTTACCGCTGAGGGATGGGGCTTCAGGTTTGGAAGGGCTAGAGCTGGGTCTCATTGTTTCACCTGCTACTTTACTTGGATGACAATTTAAAGTATATTCAACTGGAAAAACCACTTGGACTCTGTTCCCATATGTTGCAGGTGGCAAAGGACTGTGTGCTACCAACTCATTGCTTTCTTACAACGCTGCAATCCTAGTGTGGCATTGTGGGTTAATGCATTGGACTGCCAAGTTGGTTTGAACCGCAAGGTTGGTGGCTCAAGCTTACCATCGCTCCTTGGAAATCCTATACAGGGTCGCTATGAGTTGGAACCAACTCTGGAGGGGGAAACTGAGTTACTGCATCTTTTGCACTATAACCACCATCTGGACCAGTATAAAGGCCTTGGTTGTGCCATGGGGTAGGCACTGGGCTGCTAATCACCAAGGTCAGTGGTTAAAACCCACCAGCCTCTTCTCAGAAGACAGATGAAAAAAAGACAATCTCAGAAGCCCTAAGGAGCAGTTCTACTGTCTATATCGAGTTATGATGTGTCAGACAGATTTCACAGCAGTGGGTAGTGGCCCCGTGTTTTCACTGGGCACCCTGTCTGTACTAAAACAGAGAGGTGGAATGGATTTTCTAAGACCACACAGCATTTCCAAAGGATTGTTAAGGCTCCATTAGATGTACCCAGGGTTTGTCGCTGGGGTAAATGATGGGGCTGAAAAAATTAAGAAAAAAGCCTCGTTCCAAAGATTTGTAAAATTTATTGTATAAGTATTGCAGCTTTTCAGAATATCATGGTTGCCACTAATGATTACTGATACAAGCGATTTCATCAGATCTGTGGATTAACATCCAAATACAGAGTCTCCCAGAGCCGCAATGTGGGGGCTGTACCCAGCGTGCTGTGGGGTGGGGTGGGGGTGGAGGTTACATAAGTTTAACTCGAACAGAAATCGGGAAAGTGGGCTGCAAAGGAGAGGGGAGTTCCAACACCAACAAAGCAACACCATGGTATCGCACGCAGCACAGAACGTGGGGTCAGGCGGGCAAACAGAACACTGCTTTCTGAGCTCCGTGGAAAAGTAGCTGTGAAGCGCAGTTTCCGGAAAACATCTCCTTTTGTATCATTAGGATGTTTTATGGTTCTGGAAGCTTTGTGTTGCATGTAGGAAACAAACCAACAAATGCTCTGAAACAGACCAGTCATAGGGACGGCACACAGGGAGTGGGCTTGCCCTGGTTTTTGCTGTATTTGGGGAGAGGGGTCATTTTCAGCTCTGCAAAAACACTGGGTGTTTGGGGATGGTTCTAGTGCAATTGCGCAGCCCATCTGGTAGACCCAGGTTTGGCAGGGAAAGGGTTCTCCTGAGGAATGCATGGACAATGGTATAACGAGAAAGTCAGAGAAAGCTAACTCCGGCACTTCCTCTCGACCTGGGCTTGGCCAGCAGTCCGCCCTGACCCCTGAGGCCCACCTGGTCCCCTTCCAACCAGCCCACACATCAGCCACCTAACTTCCTACTGGAAAAAGGGGCCTCTGAAGGGGACGCAAATGCTTTCCAAAGATAATGGTGCAGCAGCCAGTATCTACAGGTGGTAGTGTGGTAGTAGTCTAAATAAACACCCCGTTGGTTTGCACAGGACACACACTGCCTCAGACAAGTCCCCCTCCTCATGAACATCTCGGCCCAGGGCTGTTACAACTTCACACTCTAGACATTAACACTGGGTTGCAGTTCAGGGTGCCCACTCTGCCCTCAAACCAGCTGAGGTCAGTAACTTGGCCCTCCTTCCTTCTCCTAGCTTGCTGCAGACAGCACCAACAGACCCTACAATGAAGCAACAAGATTCAAGTTTGACTCAAGAGGACAGTGGGTGCACCAGGATCTAGCTTTTGTCTGATGCCCCTCCAACAAAGCTCACACCCAGCTTTTTGATCCGGATGTGAGTGATACACAGTACTTAATGAGGCTGGAGTAACTGACGAGCGGTTTTTCACAAAACTAGGCACATCCAGGGACAGGGCACATGAAAGGGTGCTGATCAGGGTGCTTGAATAGATGCAGTAGCCCTTTGTTAGTGATGTCCAGGGACACCCCCCACCCTACCCGGAGAACGAGGGGGCCACTGCTTCCTAGTAAGGCACTGGAGTCGCTCCACATAAAGGAAAGATGCGTTTGTAAAACTCCATCTACAAATGTGTCCCTGCACCTTCAGATCCATCGCTCTGCATTCCTCTCCCAGGGCCTTCTCTGCAAACCCTCTTGGAGAGAGAAGCAAAAAGTAGACTTCAAGCTCCTTGGAGAGGCAGATTCCAATATTGAAAAGGTATAAGGACTTCCTGCCAGGCAGGTCAGCGGAACGTCCGCTCAGGTATCAACTATTGGTCTTCATCTTCTTAAAATAGATTGTGTGTGTATATATATATAGATATATATATATGTAAATATATGTGTGTGTGGATATATATAAATAAGAGTTCAAATGGTCAGAACGTCAAAACTGTTCTCAGGTTTTTGTTTTTCAAGTAATAAAAAAGTTGATTAAAAACAAGTTATTGCCTCATTATCTTCCTTCTATGCTATTCTACTAGTCAGAGTTCT